AATTTCGAAATTTCATAATGTCAAAATTTCATGTCGATTTTTACACACGATTCAAGGGTTTTCCCGGGAAAAATAGCTTCTGTAACGTTCGACATTATGCAAATCGGCAGGACCATGGCAAATCATTTTGTAACGGTGACTGGCTTTAAATGGCAAAGAAACTCACTATATGGACACTTTTCCGGCGCTGCAACGGCACCCCGGGTCAAAGTCACTACCTGGCAGCGCTATGGTTTTTCCAACCTCATAGTGGTTCTAAACCGTACGCCGACGTCATAGAACTTTAGGCGACGACGCTAACTCCTAAAAACAGCTAATTTCTGACTTACCGCGTGCGAATTCCGATGAGTGACCATTAGGCCTTCGCCGGAGGCAACCGTAACCATTAGTGATACCGGAAACCCGGTGTCAGAATAGGGCTGCTCGGCAAGCTGAACCTCAAATCTAGCTCCAAATTTTACGCCTCAATGTATAACATACCTGTTATATCTCGAAAAATAGAAGATCTCGAGCTCGTCACCATTCGAGAAACCGGCCGTCAGCTCGAAAAAGGGGCCATCGTAGAAGTGTCGGTGCTCATCTGGCATAAACGTGTTTTTCAAAATTGATTAGACGAATTCACATTTATCCACCGTATTCCCGGCAAATGCGCATAAGAAAAGGCCATATAGGATGAGGAGCATGGCGCGAAATATTGAGCTTACCAATTTTGTCCCCGATTTTATGCCAAAAATCCATATTCAACGTTTAGCGTTCGGGTTTTTATATTATTTTCTGTGGGCTTGTCGTTGATAGCTCTGGTAAAATCGTATTTATTGGTTTCTTGGGTTTAACAGGATTATTATTGCTGATGGAGCGTAAAAATTTGAAGATGCTCGTCATTTGCTTGCTCCCGATCGGTCTCATATCGCAAACGGCGGCGATTCGAATGTTCTTCCTCTTGCTCGATCTTATCCAGGTCGCTTTGGAACTTGATTCTAGACAATTTACATTTACTTGATCGCTCGTTACAGAGCATAAGCTGAATTTTAAGTGGATCTCAAAACTCACTGCACGGCAAGCGGTGTGTTTTCCGAGAACCAGCACCGCCTTTCGCGACCCTGAAACCCGCTTGGAAAAAATCGAGGGTCTGACCTGAGCACCGCCCGGAACATCCCATGCAATACCAACTTTGGTTTCGCCAACCCCGAATTTGCCTTTGAACTAAATAAATTTTTTATTGTTGGGTTGTCGTTGCATTTTCCCACCGAGAGCCAGTCAGCTTTCAGCCTAACCCGGTTTTGATTGATGCGCTTCTGAAAAAAGACCGGAAAATCCTAGACGAAATCATATGGACTTAATGAAAGCGTAAAAGGTCTACAGGGTGGCTGATAAGTATCCGGAAAAAGTATAAGGTCCCGGTGTAAAAAGGAAAGCACGAATGTAATCAAAACCAATTATTTTATAACTAGTAGATGCTATATATTCGTCGCTGTAACAAATGTTTAAGGTGACATTTATCTGCTTTGATTTATGCTACAAGTTGTGGCTATCCTAAAATGGCTGTGCGCCGCGGGCAGTTGACGGCTATTTTGCTCAAATTCTTGTTAAATTCTTGGTGCAGATTAACCATATTCTTGATGCTCTGGTTCTTTAACTCGTGTTCCATGCATTCCCGCACAGAAAAAATCCAGTGGATTACGATCTGGGCTTTTGGCAGGTCATATAACCTTCGTCATAAAAGCGTCGATTTTCGGGCGTAAATGACGAATTGTGGTTTTTGGGCCCTAGCCCCGAGCCCGATACTGTTGAAGGCCAATACACGGATTATTTCTATTTCAGAGCATCACATCTTGCTCCAGAATATCATTTTGATAGAGGTTCATCTTCATTTTAGCACTTTGATCGATGAAAACCTGTCGGAGACGCTAATTCCTCTTCTGACCATATAACTTTCTGGGATAAGCCTTTTTGTAGTAATTTTTAACTTTCTGGTATTCTTCAGACCCGGACTGACAAGTTATCGGGGTTTTTGAAAGTTTTCAGACACCTTAACCCAGAAAATTTTTTCGTCTAAACATTGACTACCCCAGGTGCGGCGCACCTAAGCTAAAGGAAATGACAAAGACAGCTTCTTGGCGCTCCGATAATTTACTGTCCTAAATCAACTCAATTTTAGTCATTAAATATGAAAGTATATACAAGAACATCCACAATGGCTAGGAAAACAGAATATAAAACTAGATGGTTTTTTGTTACGCCATGTCAAAGTTTTTCCGGATACTTATCAGCCACCCTGTACAACGTACCCTTCGCCACGTTTGATCGATGGTCCAGTAGTTGTTGCCGGGTCCAACACTGAATTCGGGTCTTAAAAGGGCTGGAAAGCGCAAGAATAAACGTTTTACACCGACTAGGTGTCGACTTGACTTTGTAGTCTTTTTATAGTCGTCAAAACCCCTTTTCCACTTAATATTCCGTTTTTCAATCAAAACACCAACGTTCTGGTGCCAAACTTAAAGCATGCGTGGTACTTCCCGGTCTTGGGCAGCGGGAAAAAACGGCTGGTGCTCATCGGGCAGTCGATGCTCTGAAGACGGTGAGATCGAGGTTCCTCCCGATGAAAATCAAGGTTCTATGGTACTTACATGATATCTGTAACCCATCGTCGCCGTTTGGGCTTTGAAGTCAAATTCGAAGGCTAGTGACAGGTCCCGATCCATTTTTTCTTCGAACGGATAGTTGTGATTGGCAATCCAGAAGCTGCTGAAAAACCAAGTTGTCGGTTTCTGGCTCTTAGCCGAGCTTAAGCCTAAGCCTAGGCCTAAGCTAAGAACACCTAAACTTGCCTTTCCCCATCAAGCGGTGTAATATCCCAAAGACAAACACTGATCGTCTTATTTACCACCGCCCCTCGGCCGTCGTCACCGTTGTAAAAATGCATCACTTCGTGCAGCGGAAAGTGCTCGTAAAATTGCACTAACAATCGGTAAGGCATCGAAATCTTAGAGCCCGACTTACTCACGAAACGCGGCTCGCGCTCTCCTCTCCTAATGATGTCGGCGATGTAGTCGATCGAGGGTCGCGGTGTATCGTACCCGCGAGTCATCATCAGGCTTTCCACGTTTCCCTTCAAGAATTGAAGCAAAGCAGAAGGCTAACAAACCGAGGCATGATGGTGCTTCACGGCTACAATAGACGCTTGCAAGGTCTAAATCTAGGTCGTTAGGAGTTTCTCTAAACCCACCACCAAAAACGTGCTGGTCATGGCTTCGGCAGGTACCGTGTACCTGATATCTGGGTTGTGATAATTTGCGCTGACCAAAAACGCGTCGCCCACGGTCTTGCTAAAGTAGTGTGAGGAGCTAGTGGTATCGAAAGTAAGGCGCGCAGTCCGTATCGAAAAATATTACTGGATCTTGACTTTCCCGGCATGGCAGCCGCACGTCTTATCCCAAAAGAAGGGGCGGAAGCTGTAGCGCTTGGGTTCCGGCTCGAACGTCTAAATCGGCCATATAATTTTTACAGTACAATTTCTAATCGATTTTTCGGCCCTACCGTACATCGGTCGATTTGCTGTGCGTTAGCGTCATCTTTGGCTTATTCCCAGTGGCTAATACCACTATCAAAGGTATCGGAATTCCTTTGCCCATATACGGTTGTTCGGTGAGACGTACTTCGAACCTGTAAAACACTCTTGGAATATTTCGTAAGCTAAATTCTAAAGTTTTGAAAGTATTAGAAAGTAATCATGAACCCGCTCCATGTATTAGCCTAAGCCCAAGCCCAAGCCCAAACCAAGCCTAAGCCTTAGCTTAAAGCTAAACCTAAGCCTAAGCCTAATCCTAAATCTAAGCCAAAACCCATATCTAAACATAATAAAAACCTTACGCGTTGGCTTTAGTGAAGAAGAATATTTCGAGTTCATCTCCAACATTGAACCCTCCCGGCAACTCAAAGAATGGTCCCTCATGGAAGTTCCGGCCCTCATCTGAAAACCGATAGCTTTTTAGGGTAAAATTTACATTTATCTACGGTATTCCGGGCAGACACGCCGATAAAAATACTGTAGAGGAATAGCAGCATTGTTTTACAAAGTGGTCTTTTGCAATGGGCTTCGCTTTATAGTGGGGCTACGTCCTGAATATCAAGAGCTATTCGTCTTTTATTAAAAAGAGGCATTCGCACCCTTTTTCTTTGCAGTTTTTCTTTCTTTATCTACTCGTGCTTGGGTAGGATTTTTAATGGCTTACACTTTTCGGAATTCGTTTCGAAATTTGAAGCCGTGGGTCGCTAACAAGGAGACGTTTTTGGTGTGAATGGAGTTCTGAGTGGAAACCTGGCCTATCTTGTGCAGAATTTTGCGCTGATTCCGAATATGTTTTCCATTTCTGCTAAATAGCTCGATTTCAAAAGTTATAGCAATTTTAAGATCATTTTAGCCCAAATTTTCCCCTCTTTAGGGACCATTATATTGCTTTTCCCGGCTGTTTTTCCAAAAATAAATATCGTCACCGTATTCAGAAAAATTTTTTCTATCGAATGAGCTATTTAACTCAAAATTTTTGAAAATCGAAAAAATCGACGATTGGTATGGGCTGCGATTTTTGTATGGGAAATGGTGAAAAATAGCCTATTTCTCACCCCTGTCAGCCATCGTCGATCGGCAGTAGCGCACTAATCAAACATACCATTCGAATCAGAAAAAAATTCTCTACAAGATAAGCTACTTAAACAAAATTAAAACGTTATAACAAAAAAGTAGCACAGCATAGCATATGGCTACTTTGGGCCTAAAAATTATCTTAAAATAGCTGTAACTTTTCAAATCGAGCTATTTAGCAAAATTGGAAAACAGCATCGAAATCAGCGCAAAATTCTGCACAGAATAGGCCTGGTTTCAACTTAACACTCCATTCACACTAAAAAGCGTCTCCTTGTAAGCGGATGCCGGTAAAAACTTGTAATGACTCGTACTAGTAACTGGTAATTTTTATTAAACGCTGCGTTCCACCAATTCATTTATGGTTTAGCATAACAACTTCAAGATCGTCATGTGCGGTTTGATTGCCATCCGTCTGGTACCGTAAACGCCGCTTCAAGGCTCCTTCTCGTTCCAATTTATCATATTCCTCCACCGCTGCATAAAACCGTTTCCTAAAGGTATTTTTCAATCGAAAACGCCAGTCATAAACTATAAGAAACGCCCATTTAATCGAAAAATTACATATGTTCCTGCCGACAGTTTGGGGTTTTCCAATATTTCCTCTCGGGACTCTAGAAGCAGTATTGTTTTTTAATTTAACCTCGTATATTGCTGTTTTTAAGCTCACTTTCAAGAAGCCGCCCGGTGTTTTCCAGGAGATGGCGACCTTTGTTTGGTCGGGCCCAAATTTTCCGGTAAACTAGATAGAGGTTGTGATCCAAAAATTAGTATACCGACAGCCATGCGGCTTTTAGCCGGATGCCATCTGGCTTCTGGCCGACTGGCGCCTGCAAAACGAAAATCGTCAATTTTAAATAACAAAAATCATAACTGAACAGTAATAAAAATCGACAATAAAGCAGCAGCAAAATATGTATACCGAAATGTTGCATGGGTTTAGTCAGCAAAACTATAATGAATTGAGCATAAAAATTGCTAAAAAAATTGCCGAAAAAATTAAAAATAAACACCAAAATCAATTACTTGGCCTATCCCATCGGTCCAGAAGGATACCATCCCGTTGTTGGCTCTAAACGACAATTAGGATTTTCCCGAATTTTCTCGACCTTCTCGTCCCAAATCTAAAGCACAAATGCTCATTCCCCGGCCCGGGCATACTCAAGCGCTGTGTGCTCATGGGATGGTCAATGCTCTGAATGCAACAATATTGGTGAAAAACAAAAATGTCGCTCTCTCTCTCTCGCTCTTTCTCGCTCTCTCTCTCCCTTTCTCTCGTCTCGTACCTGGTGGCGAAATCCCAAAGTGGCGGTCCTCCGCTTGAGGTCGATCTCGAAAGCAAGAGACAAGTCACGATCGTTCCTCTCTATGAACGGGTAGTTGGTGTTGGCGATCCAAAAGCTGTAAAAAGTTCAAAATCAGTGATTAGTGCAAATTTTAGTTTCCGGCTGTAGGTGCCGGCCCATTTTACGCCTCATAACGATTATCCGAATCCATAAACAGCGTCGGTGAGGCTCTAGGTGCGGAACGACGGCACGGAAAACTGTTTTCAAACGTACACATGCGCAAACACTTTTTACCTTTCCCCGTCTAGCGGTGTCATATCCCAAATACAAATGTGGATCGTTTTGTTTTCAACCGGCCCACGATCATCGTCGTTATCGAAAAAATGCATCACCTCGTAAATAGGAAAATGCGGATTGAAGTTTACTGAAATTCAAAGCAACCTTCCAGATTAAAAAATAGGATCTGTGTTTGTGTGCGGCCGTGCCAATTTGCATGCATGTTCCAGCAGTATCTCAAGAAGGGGAATAGTTAGGGGTATGTTTGATACGTCATTGGGTGCGTAATGGTCAGGAGATGACTGCCTACCTATTAGAATTATTAAAATCACCTATTTTTGAGATTTTTGAAGTTTTGTTTAAAAATTGAAACCTTTTTTATTAGGAACCAATCAGCATATGTCGGAAGCGGCGTTAGTCTATATATTGGGATAGAAACCCTTTTTTATTTTTCTCACTTTTAGGAGTTTATGCAGTTTATGAGGGCCAAGGTTGAAAAGTCGCAAAGCGCATTTTCAACCCTAGGAGGATGCATTATCATAAACATAGACAATTTACCTTTAAATGGCTGTGCCTTGACGCTTTCCCAGTCGCGGATTCTCTTCAGAACATGTTCTTCAGGCGGGCGTGGCGTGCCCTTGCCGCGGGTCAACATCATAGAGATCGGTTGTTTCTTGAAATAGCGTGTTTGATTTGCATTCTCTTAAAAATTAGCCGACTCTGTGGGCCGAAAGTTCTTTTCGCGGAATGTCGTTTATGTATGCTAATTAGGTTTCTACAAAGTTTTCTTCGGCTTTTTTCCTACACACTCTCAAAAGGATTTTTCAATCATCATCTAATCTTAGCGGAAATTTTACGATTTACAAGTTCGCTTCCATCGAAACTTTGCTTCTAATAATCCTTAAAATTCCGAATAACACGACTGCTAATAACTTGGCACCGTTTGGAAAATGCTGTAACAGCTTACCCCGGCGCGATGGTGCTTCACCCCAACAATGGCCGGGTCGCGGACCTGAATATCTTTTTTTAATGCGAGAATCCCTCACCACCAGGAAGGTTGCAATCATATTCTCTTCCGTTGATGTGTAGTGGAAGGGGCCTTTATGGGTATTGAATGAGATCTCGTAGCCGCCGGTAGACGTGCGCCTAAAAACTTTAGCCACGTCGGTTACAATGATCTTGTGACAGCCGTCCGTATGAACCGATTGTCTATGATAATGTCGAAATTCAAAATCTCGAAATTCATAATGTCGAAATTTCATAGGCTCGAAATTTCGTAAAAACGAAATTTTTGCATAGTATGGGGGGTTCCTGAAAAATTGGCTTATGTAAATCTCGACCTTCTGCATTTCGACATTATAAAATTTCGACATTCTGAAACTACGACATTATCAATTTCGCCATTTTGATTTTCGATATTTTGAAAAAACCCGTCAACCGAATCCAGCTTGACGGGGAAAGGAGCAAGAGCTTCTACTTTTAAGATAGTTTGGCTTGGCAAGGTTGTGGCCAAATTGAACCAGGTGGTGCGCGTTTAGGGCGCGATGGGGACATAACTGCGTATGAACATTTTCCACAGATCCTTTTTCGTTTGGTTTTCCGCGATTTTTAACGTTGTGTTGCAGGTGTTTGATGTAGCTTAGGCACCGGGCGCCCGAACTTACAGTATCGTGATCATGCCCTCGTAACACCCACAATTGTTGTCCCACCCAAAATAGTCGAGGGGACGCTTTTTCACCTCATTCCACGCTGTCTAAATGGGTTTTTTTTGGTCAAAATTTCAGTAGTTTTAGCCGAAAACAGAGTAATACGTCTGGTCTTCGCACTTCTAAATTTCAATACTTGCGAATGCGTCTGATTTGCCGATTTTCCAAGAATTACAGGTACAGTGAGAAAAGGAGAAACCGCATTAAAATTTTGCAAATGCGGTTTTGGTTTATGGAAAACTGATAGATTCGGGTCACTTTCAAATTTTGGAAAACCAGAATTTCGAAATTCATAATGCCGAAATTTCGTACTGTCGAAATTTCATAATGTAAAAAATTAATCATGTCGAAATTTCATAGTGTCGCGATTCGGAATGCTATGCATAAACGCATATACTGGGAAACACACTGACTCCTATGCAAAAAAGTCGGCATTCTAAGTTTCGAAATCATGAGATTTCGATATCTTGATTTTTGACATAACGTAATTTAGAATTCCTGAAATTTCGGCAATATGAATTTCTTCATCTTTGACATTACGCTAGCAAATCGAGCCAGTCGACATCCACCGTACCTGGTCTGCCCTTCGATGAGTAATTTTTATCAACGGCGGATCATCAGGCATCACCAGCAGCGCAAGCGGTACCGGAAACCCATATGTCTTCGACGGCTCCTCGGCCAACTGTAATTCGAGCCTGACCAATTTTATGTTTTTAGCGTTTTCCTGGAGCTTTCTACCCGGGCAGCTTTGTAAAAAAGTAGATCTCCAGCTTCTCCCCTCTGTTGAATCCGCCGGCCAACTCAAAGAAAGGCCCTGGACCCAATGGCTGCTTCCTGTCTAAAAATTAGTTCTTAGCATACGTCTGCTTTGATTGTGAAGAATTTCAAAAATCGTAACTTGAAAGGCCAAAATCTCGGGAATAAGGCCATCGAAAATGAAAATACCGAATTATCATATTCTTGAAACTTTCATTTGCTTCATGCGGAATCTAGACGTGAAAATTTTAGTGTTGATTCAGACTAGGGAAATTAAAGAATCTAAAAGTTTTAGAGTCTAAAAATTCGAGATTTTTAAATTTGGGACTTCGATAATTCGATATACTGAAGTTTCCAGGTTTAAAAATTTTCTCGCACGGATATTGAATGAAAAAGAAACGAAAAACTAAAAAAATCTTGAAATCCGAAATTTGATGAGGCATTTTTGCGATTGTCGCGTGTAATAAATTTACATTTGTCGTAATAGTTGCCGGCAAGCACATTTAGGGAAAGGACGCAGAGGCAGAAGAGTAGCATTTTGGGTGGGAAAATGATGTTTCGCATTATAGCTACGTGTTTTTATGCTGCCGACCGCATATTATACAACCAGGGACTTTATTGAAAACGTTATTTTTATCCCACAAATTTATTCTACTATTATTTATGTTATCGATCTAATAATAACTGATTTATTGCCGATCGAGCGTTATAATCTCAAAATTATCATCATTATCATCTTTTTCCTCCCGATCCGTCTCGTAGCGGACGCGTTTTAGGCGCCTCCATTTTTCCGGTGTTCCTCGCTTGTCCATCTCCTCCGACGCTTTTTTCAGCAGAACCCTGGAAATAGTATAATTAACTCAAGCCGGCGTCAAAAATATGTATCGACATTAAAATAAATACGGCAAAGACTTACTGGTGCTCAACCGGGACACTCGGTGTATACCAATACTTTCGTTTGCCATCCACTTTGTAGGATACGCCAACGTATGTCTTTCCGAGCCCAAATTGACCCAGGAACTTAAAAAAGTCATTTGATTTCCTTGAACCTTGATTTCCTTGACCAATACGATATTGTTCTCATTACGGAAACCTGGCTCAAAGCCCAAATTCTGGACACTTTGCTTGTCCTTCCCGGCTATTCGATATTCAGACGTGATCGTGAAGGGCATGGAGGCGGCCTTGCCATAATCTTCCGCAGCCACCTCAAAATCGTAAATGTGAGTATTTCAACCAATCTCGAAGTTCTATGTCTTGACATATTTTCAAAAAAGTCTAAACGTGATTTGAGGCTCATCCTTTGCTATCATCCCCAACACCACCAGCCTCTCCTACCCCTCATCGAGCTATTATGCAAACTATTATCAAATTGTATTTCGCCTTATATTCTTCTAGGCGATTTTAACAGTCCTCATATTGACTGGGTCTCTGGGACAACGAAATGTTCAAACTGTCAGAATCTAATTCGATTTGCTGCTAAGTTCGGCCTTTCCCAATTGGTAACTGAGCCAACCCGCTTAAATAACATCTTGGACCTTGTATTTTCTCCTCTTCCTGGGCTCATTGAATCGCTGACCATCGCTGAGCCTTTCAGCGATCACCAGTCAATCGATTTCTATATTTTGCTTAGTCACCAGCGGCCCCCACCCCCCAGGCAAAGAGATTTCCGCCGTGCCCCCTTCGAAGAAATAAATCGGAGAATAGCGGGGATAAACTGGCTTTTCGAGTTCCGCCAGGGAGATGCTGAAAATCTGCAGAATAAATTGGACAATTATCTCCAAAATTTGGTTGAAGAATTGGTACCTTTCCGTAAGACGCGAACCAGACCTTCTGGAAAAACTCTAGTCCTCCTAAAGCGAAAAAAGGCCATTTGGAAAATCGAAGGAAACAGTCCGAGTTACAAAAATGCTTGTAAGGACCTTGACACTGCCCTACGCCAAGAAAATGAACAAAAAGAGCTGGATTTTGTGGATAGGTCATCCGCTGCAGGTCGGATCGGAGCATTGAGGAAATTCTATGGTTACGTTCGGTCAAAGACTTCTACCGATAATGCAATTCCTCCACTCTTTATTAGTCAGCATGAGATGGCCGTGACTGATGCCGAAAAAGCTGATGCCCTACAGTCACAATTTGCCTCAGTATTCACTACCAGCCCTCCCGTACCTTCCTATTTGCCCATAAGAACCAACAAATTGCTACGGAAGCCCCCGGGCACAACGCGCGAACTCCGGGATTCCTATGGCGCGCCCCAATGACAGTACCCCCGGCCCCCCGGGGCCATCCCCTTTTCCCTCGCGTAATGGCCCGTTTAGTTGGTAAAACATAAAAAGAAGTCGTTTTACAAAGAAAACAATAGAAAAGTGAAGTGAAATACATTTACAGGATAGTTTTTGTCATGTATACTCTCCAGTAGATGACGCAGGCGCACATGCGCTGGGAGGTAGAAGCGTACTAGGCGTTTTGCTTAAATTACTTGGCTTTTAATTGATGCATAGGCTTAGCTTAGCTTTAATCTGTGCAACTGAAGCACTTAGCTTTAAGATACCGGTCGTCTCAAAAACAAAGTTTGTTGGCGGGTCGCGTACGACCGCTCATAGCATGGCTCAAGCAAGGCTTAGACTTGGTCATACAAAGACTAGGAAGAATGGCTAGCTTACCTTGTATAAGTAGCCTTCTTGCAGTTAAAAATTAGTCTCCTCGGGTCGGAAAAGGCGTCCATATCGTGATAATTCAGACAAAACCGGTGAAGCCATTATTACAAAGTTAATTTACAAAACTATACTAGCCATTTGGAAAGCCGGTTCGCTGGGCATGATGCGCTGAAAGTTTCTTTGCTACTAGCAATGCTGCTGCTCTACTGTGCTCATGAAGCGGAATGGAAAAGCCGGAAACAGATGAACGGAATTAGGTAGGACGTCATAACCGCAGGGGTCTCCGTCAGCGTAATACTTCATCCTTAACCTGGAAGCTTTAAACGTAAGCCCATACAAGCGAAATCTAAGCCTTGACTTACCTTCGTTCAGAACCAAGCAAAAGCTGCGTTAAGCCTAGTAATAATGACACAAGCTTCTAGCGAAGCTAAGCTGAGTTATGCTTGGATATAGGGCTGAGAAGAAGCCAAGCTCGTGCTGAAAGCTAAGCTGTGGCTGTGGCGTCGCTATTCCCAGTTAGTTCTGCCCCCAAAAATTCAGATATTCGTCTAAAAAGTACTCTCTGGCACGGTAAATGTCTATTTACGAAATATTATAGTAAAACTTACTTGAATTTTGAATAACTACTAGTAAATAATGTTTAAATAGAAAATTACCGCCAAACCTGTGTACCAGGTGTACCGGGTGCTATACAGGGTGTCCCATAAAAAAGCACCCCTCCGGCATTTCGCCGTATTACATCCGGCCGGTCCCATACTTTGCACAAGGGTGTATCAGACCCTAAATAACCACAATCCTGACTTATAGCCCGATCGCTACACTGGTTCTCGAGTTATAGCCAAAATACTTTTTTCTATGCGATTCTTAACAGTTTTTCCGGCTATCTTTTTGGACTTTGCATCGATTTGCATCGACTTCCGGCTGTGAATCCCTAATTTCGCTTAATATCGGGGGTGAGTTTCGGTTACGAAAATTGTTGAAATCAACGGTTATTTAATGAATTTGTATCAGGAAAAATTTCTAGTGGTAAGAAGGCCTGCCGCTTCATTTTCACTTCATATTCGAAGGGCCGATTCCGACGAAAACCTTGTGAAAAACGGCTAATAAATTTTATGTTTGCTGTATCTCGAAAATTACTGTCGCTAGCCGGCTATAACTCAGGATTGTGGTTATTTAGGACCTGATACACCTCTGGTCCAATTTTGGGACAGATCGGATGCAATGTGGCGAAATGCGGGAGGGGTGCTTTTTTATGGGACACCCTGTATACTAATTGCAAAAATGTATTCCACTTCACTTTTCTATTGTTTTCTTTGTAAAACGACTTCTTTTTATGTCTTACCAACTAAACGGGCCATTACGCGAGGGAAAAGGGGATGGCCCCGGGGGGCGGGGGTACTGTCATTGGGGCGCGCCATAGGAATCCCGGAGTTCGCGCGTTGTGCCCGGGGGCTCCCGTCAAATTGCTATCGTTTGTCGATTTCAGCCCTCATATTATAGAGCGGACCATTGTCACCTCTCTTAAGCCCAAGTTCACCCAAACTGCTGACGCGGTGCCAGCATCCTTTGTAAAAGAATGTGCTGGTTCCCTATCCCTCCCCCTTTCTCTAATCTACAGCAGAAGCTTCCACACCGGCGTCGTGCCCTCCAGCTGGAAAAAAGCTATAATTTGTCCCATATTTAAGAAAGGGAAGAAATCTGAACCCGTCAACTATCGTCCGATCTCTCTGACGAGCTCCTTCGGCAAAATCATGGAGAAGGTTGTTCGGAAAGCCCTCTCTGAGTTCCTTGACAATGAAAAACTCTTATCGAAGAACCAATTTGGATTCTTGAAAGCTCGCTCGACAACTGCCCAGTTGCTAGTTCATCAGCACAATCTCTTAATAGCCGATCAGAAAGGACTTTGCTCTGATGTTTGCTATATCGACTTCGCGAAGGCATTCGATACCGTCTGCCATTCCCGGCTACTCCGAAAACTTTCCACCTACGGAATTGCGGACCCACTTCTTGGTTGGATACAAAACTGGCTGGTGGGTCGTTCACAAATTGTTCGAGTTGGTGATTCATACTCTATTCCTGCGCCAGTACTGTCTGGTGTTCCACAAGGATCCGTCCTCGGGCCCCTACTTTTTATTCTATACATAAACGACCTAAATGATCCCCAACATCTACCGAATGGCTTACTCTTTGCGGACGATCTAAAGCTAATCTCCCATTTTTCCAACGCTAGCCCATCTGATATGTCTGTTCAGCTGCTTAAACTCGAGTCCTGGGTCTCTGAAAATCAGCTGACTCTCGCTGCCCCAAAGTGCTCTTCTGTACACTACGGCAGAAGAAATCCGAAGAACACTTATTCGCTAAATGGTAGCCCGCTCCCACAATCAAAATGCATTCGTGATCTGGGTGTCCTGCTATGCGATGACTTCAGCTGCTCGCCAAATGTGGTAGAGGTGACGAAAAAAGCAGCTCGCTGCTCCTTTCTTATTTTCAAAATTTTTCGTAGCAAAATTCCAAATTTGTATATAAAGGCATTTCTAGTTTATATCAGGCCTATAATCGAATATGCCTCAGTAGTTTCATCCCCTTGGCTCAGAAAAGATCAGATTGCTCTAGAAACAATTCAGAAAGACTTCACTCGACGTGTATGCTACCGGTGCCAAGTCCCGTACGTCTCCTATCGTTCGGCATGCACTCAATTCAATCTCGAACCATTGAACAATAGGAGGCTGACCACGGATTTTCTTTTTCTATTTAACCTCCACAAGATTCCTTCTAATATTTCTGAAAATACTTTCTTCTCTGCTGCCCCTTCTCGAACTCGTGGACTTAAAACCAAAATTAGTCCTATTCTGGCTCCAAAAACCTCTGTGTCAAAAGCTTTCTTCTCCACTCGCGTAGCTGCTCTCTGGAATTCCTTTCCCCAAACTGCCATTGATAGTCCGTCTAAGAAAGCCTTCAAAAATCATCTTTCCCGCCTTATCCCCGTCTCCTATCTACTGTGATCGTGTTCTCATCAATCTAGTCTCCTATTCCATTCCCCCTTCACACATCTTCAGAATCTTATTAATCCTAATTTCCCTTTATTTAACTTTCCCCTCCATCACCCTATTTACGCCCGATTCCTCATACTGTAAGCGTTGACTTTGTTAACCTTGTGTGAGAATAAATAATAATAGTAATAGTTGCCGGCAAGCACATTTAGGGAAAGGACGCAGAGGCAGAAGAGTAGCATTTTGGGTGGGAAAATGATGTTTCGCATTATAGCTACGTGTTTTTATGCTGCCGACCGCATATTATACAACCAGGGACTTTATTGAAAACGTTATTTTTATCCCACAAATTTATTCTACTATTATTTATGTTATCGATCTAATAATAACTGATTTATTGCCGATCGAGCGTTATAATCTCAAAATTATCATCATTATCATCTTTTTCCTCCCGATCCGTCTCGTAGCGGACGCGTTTTAGGCGCCTCCATTTTTCCGGTGTTCCTCGCTTGTCCATCTCCTCCGACGCTTTTTTCAGCAGAACCCTGGAAATAGTATAATTAACTCAAGCCGGCGTCAAAAATATGTATCGACATTAAAATAAATACGGCAAAGACTTACTGGTGCTCAACCGGGACACTCGGTGTATACCAATACTTTCGTTTGCCATCCACTTTGTAGGATACGCCAACGTATGTCTTTCCGAGCCCAAATTGACCCAGGAACTTAAAAAAGTCATTTGATTTCCTTGAAGAAATTAGCATACCGACAGCCAGGCAGCCTTCAATCTGACACGGCCCTGGGATATGGCTTCCTAAAGGAAAAAAATTACATTCTAGGTGTCTTCAATGTAATTTTAGGTTTGTATAGCTGATTAGGCACGAAGTTGGAAAACCTATAACTGGCGTAGGCCTCAACAAGCGCTAGCTAATCGGAAAAGACCTCAGCCACCACTTTGACGATAAATTACCATTTAAAGCGCACGTTCAGGGAGGGGCCGTGTACTCGTCCCAACGTGTACACCCTATGGACGTAGGGGCCGCGCGCACGGCCTGCCCGTGCTGTGACAGGCCATTCTCCTCCTTTGCGGCGTCGGGCGCCCCTCGCCCCCTCGCCAGGTTGTAGCTGTGGCTGACTGGTATCCGTCCGCGCCTCCCGAGCGGGGGCCCGGGTTCGACCCCCGGCCGCGGCAAAAAATCTTTGCTCTTTCCAAAAAACGCCCCTGAACGTGCCCTTTAAGGCTAGTTCTCGCTACTCCTTACTTTCCCAAATATCCCATCGGCCATCCAGATGATTTCTCCAACACCAAATCTGAAGCCCAATTGCCGGAAGACCCTCAAAAAAAGTTCCCACCTCCTCATCCCAAATTGGAAGCACGTCCCGTATTTCCCATTTTTCGATGGCGGGAAGCGTTTTGTGTTCAGCGCGTAGTTGAGGCCCTGTATGTTATAACTTGATCAAACCAGACCAACTTGGGTTTTCCGACCGAACATCACAATCCTAAATTACCTTATGCCTGAAGCCCATGGTTGCTGTTTGCTTTTTGAGGTCAAACTCGAAAGCAATCGATAACTCTCGATCCAGCCTCTGGTCAAATGGGTATTTGTTGTTGACGATCCAGAAGCTAAAAGTGAACTTTCTTACATTTCTGAAATAGGAATCCCAATACCTCTCCCCATTAAGAGGCGTTATATTCCAGAGGCAAATGAAAATCGTGCTATTCGTGACGGGACCACGGTCATCGTCACCGTCGTTGAAATGCATTAGATCATGGATTGGGAAATGGGGGAAAAAGTCCACTAAAATTTATGGGTGTTATAGAGAAGTGGAGTGCAATTAAATTATATATAAATTCATGGATACAAGCTGTAATTTTATAATAATTATAGCTTACTCTTAAAGGCCCTTCTACGTTCCCATTGCTTGATTTTCCCCAGTAGGTATTCAGGGGTTGGCCTCGGCGTATGGTACCCGCGAGTCATCATCAGGCATTCTGGGTTTTTCTAAGAAATAAATATATTTAATACAGTTTTATGCAATAGACCTAGCCCTAAGTATTCCTTTGATTCAATAAATGACTATTCAATAGATTAAATTTTAGAGCAAAACCGACGTTAAGTTAAAAAATGGTTTCATGGTTTACAAACCCGTGGTCTATGATGGGTCACGGCGACGATGGAAGGTTGGGTAAACTAAAAATCGCTTTGAATTCCTCAAAAAAAATATAATTACGGCCAAGAAGGTGCTCGTCATCTCCTCATGCACCGACGGCCAGTCGAAGTCACGGTTCTGGAAGGTGGAGCCGACGCGGAACTTTCCGTTTGAGCTCTTGCTAAATCGTGAAAAATACGCGCCACTAATCTCCCTTTCATTAGGGCGTATTCCAACTACATATATCGCCAGAATGCTTTTGTTTCCGGCATAACCCTTACAAAATCGAGATCTTCCCCGCATAACACTCGCACGCCTCGTCCCAGTCGTACCGCGCAAGTGATTGATCCGCGCCCCCATTCCAGTCAGTCTAGAATGAGCGGCAAGTTATAATATTAAACATTTCCATCGTTTAATATATTTCTTACGTCAGTCGAAGTCCGATAATTCAGATGAATCTGCTTCTCCTCGCCCCCGACAAACCGGGCAAGCAGCGGCGTCGGGAATCCCAGGCCGGTATAGGGCTTCTCACTGATCCGCAGCTCAAAACTTATCACGCTTAACTTGGAAATCAGAAATTTGCTCCTTACAGTGACGATTTCGTAAAAATAAATATCTCTAGCTCATCACCAGTGTTGAATCCTCCCTTTAACTCGAAGAATGGGCCCTGGTACAGCACTTGGCGCTCATCTAGAAATGACATTCAGGTTTTTCGCTTATTTAGGTTTACATGGATCCCAGGTGTTGTCGGCAAGGGCAGTAGAGAAAACCGTGCAGCTCAAAAATAACAGCATTCCACATAAAATAAAATTTTCAGCGGTTTGTCTGGGTTATAACTAGGGTGACGACGAATATTAAACAGGTGTGTTTTATTAAAAGTTTTGTATTTATGGACCTGTTTTCGATAATATTAAAGTTTTATTAAAGCACTAAGTGATATTATATTGCCTCTCAAGTGGTGCGATTTCAACGTCTTTATTTTAATCTTGGCGTTGTTCGAGGGTATAGTGAAGCCGCCTTCGCTTTGGAGGACCATCATAGGCATTCGGCCATAGGTTCTTGACGTGACTCGAAATACAGGTTCTCAAAAAAAGCTTGATTTTTCCTTATCAAAAACTTTAGCAATTATTGAAAATCCTTCGAGAAAGAAAAAGATATATAGTGAGTGGGAGAGTAAGAGGTACATATTTTTGACCTCGTCCGGGTCGACTCTCCACGCCCCGCTTAGAATACCGGCGCCGACGCATCAAAGTATCAGGTTGGAACGAAAGTTCTGTCGCCGAGATTTTGGGAGGCTGGCTAAATTCGTAGATAGCTCCATTCTGGACATGCGATATGTCATTTTGTAGCTCTTGATCTAAATCGTTTCGGTAGGGGGTCCTGGGCGCTCAAAATGAAGAACGGCTGAGATACAGGCCAAAGAAGTTTTTTCCAAAAATCACGCAAAAGCGTTTTTGCAAGTTCTCTCTGCATAGAGCGATTTGCATGCAATACCTTTAACACAAATCGATAGCTCTCGAGGAGTAGATATCGATAGATGTTGAGATCGTAAAAAACGGACACTGGATGACCGAGATATGGCCAATTGAAATTTGGCCCCTTTCTTAGAACTTTTCTCGAAATCCCATACATTTCCAAAAATTTGACGGACAGGTGCCCAAAATTGCCGCTTTATTTTTGGACTAGCGGAGCAGATTTTGAAAAAATGTATGGGAAATCGGGAAAAGTTCTAAGAAATGGGCTAAACTTCAAGGGGCCATATCTCGGCCATCCAGTGTCCAATTTTGATCATCTCAAGGTCTATCGATATCTACTCCTCGAGGGCTATCGATTGGCGTTAAAGGTATCGCATTCAAATCGCTCTATGCAGAGATAACTTGCAAAAACACTTTTGGGTAATTTTGTGAAAAACTTCTAGAGCCTTTTCTCGGCTGTCCTTGATTTTGGCGGTCCCGGACCCTCATACCGAAACGATTCAGGCCGAGAGCTACAAAATGACGTATCGCATGTCCAGAATGGAGCTATCCACGAATTTAGCCAGCCTTCAAAAAACTCGGCGACAGAACTTTCGTTCCAACCTGATACGCACATTTTTTCGTAATTTTGTCAAAAAGTGAGAGCATGCAACTGAATTCTCCTTGATTTTGGTGGCCTAGGACCGTCCTCCCGGAAGGGTTCAGGCCGGGAACTACAAAATGAGACATAGCATGTCAAAATTGGAGCTATCTACGATTTTAGCCGACCTTCCAAAATCTCGGCGACAGAACATTGGTTCTAAGCTGATAATTATAGAGGCATGGGAAGGAAGTGGAAATCATGTCAGTCACGTTTCCCGTGTAGTTTGTTGGCCGTAAACTCGGGCCAGAATAGCAAATTTCGAATGTGCAGGTGCTTCTGCAGTGCGGTGATGGACGTCAATTCCCAGCCATTTGGGACAACTCTCAGCTATGTTTATTCCTGACGAGCATGACGTTGCCGTTATCGTCCGCGCCTACAATGTGTTGTGGTGCCTGGGGGCATTGCTGTTCTGTATTGCGATTTTTCTTCTCAATGGTCATCCGCTGGCCAGTCGAAATTATAAGATCGTGCAGATAAATCTAATGGTAATTCTTAGACAGTTCCGATACAGCGATAATCTGCTCAAAATGCCGGCAAATCTGAAGCTGGAAGCTATAATTCGGGCCTTCATCCACTCGTAATTGAACGTCTCTTTCGGGCTTCAGGGGGCTACAGTTGCCCGTATCTGGCGCCGTCGGCTTTTGGCAGCTTTCCTCGTTAAATTGGTTGTTCCAGTGCGCCTGTCAATTCACCGACACGGTGACGACGATTTGCAAGGTGGTTTTTCTGGCTCCAAAGTTGGCGATACGTCTGCTCCAAATCACCGTCTCCACGTTGGAGTGTTTGCTCCTAGCGGTGAGATTTTTTCGACGGTGTTTCGGATTCTAATTGGTTGGCATTTTGACACACTGGGCCTAACAAGGGAAGTGTTTTTGACGCAGGTGGAAAAGCGCTATTTGACATACATCAATCGATGGAGAATTGAAAATAAAGGTGAAGTTTAAATATTAGTTTTTTTTACTCCTCTACTTAAAAAGTTATTTGGCTTTTAAACTGCTATTTTCGCCAAAAAATCTATAAAATCCCCCCCCCTCGCCCCTATAAAAATCCCCCTATAAAAACCTAATAACTTTTTAAACAGAGGACGCAAAAGCTAATATTTAAAGATCCTACTATATATAAAAAAATAGTGTTTGTGTGTGTGTCTGTGCCACTTTGCATCCACTTCCGTCATTCTGTCCGGAGGATATCTCAATAGGGGAAGGGTATTAGGCTACATACGATACGTCATTAGGTGCGTAATGGCCCTGAGATGACTGCACGCAGATCAGATTTATCGAAATTGCCTATTTCGACATTAAAATTAAGTTTTTGTTGGAAAATCGGCCATCCTCTTTGTTAGGAAAAAATTAGCATGCGCCGGAAGTTCCTGTAGCCTATATAATGGGCTAGCAAGCGCGCTTTTCTTTTTTGTCATCGGAAATCCAAGAATTATGCAAAGTGAGGTACATCATGCGATCAGACGGGGCCAGGGTTGAAAAGTCGCGAAGCGGCTTTTCAACCCTGGTTTCCTTTATTTTCAATTCTCTATCGATTGATGTATGTTAAATAGCGCTTTTCCACCTGGGTCAAAAACACTTCCCTTGTAAGCCTCAAGACACTCAACAACCACACACAACCTACAACTAGGACACAATATTTAGCAAGTCGGCGTCATCAGCATGTTCTACATTTTCTTCTCGTTTATATACGCCGGCTTCGCAAAAGTGCGTTTGACACAGAGACGCGAGCTGGAGATTCGAAACCGAAATGCCGCCAACTTCCTGCCGTTTGGAATACTGCTGCTCTTGCTCTACGTAACCGTCGGTGGCTGGCATCTGTATTTTTGCGGCTATGTTATTACAGATCCTGTAGAAGTAAGAACTTCACCATCGGCCATCTTCTGAATTTTTGCTCGTTACTTACCTTGTTAGGGCTGCAAGGCGTCGGGTTTTAGGGGATAATGAGATTTGCAATACGCCGCCGTCATGTTAGACGCTACCGCTCACCCTTTTCTTTCAGATCTGCAAACTGGAACCCTTGCTATGTAATCAGCCGCAATTATTTTTGGTTAGCTTCCCGCCTTACGCGGTTATAATCACCATCGTTTTGGTCGTGCTGATCGCCAGTGGCTTTTTCGGGTATATGTGGGCCCTGCATACTTCGATGAAGGCCGCGAGCAGCATCGTTGTTTCTACAAAAACCCGGCATATGATGGAAGTTTTTGAGCATGTTTTCCATTTCCAGGTGGGGCTGTGTTTTCTTTTTGACATTTTTTTTAGATGGTCAGCTTTGGCGTGTTAATGATACTGCCGCATGCCGTCAACCTAATGATGATCATTGGCATCGGGCACAATGAGTTTTTATTTGCTGGTGCGTGCTTACATAACCAGGTTGCGAAAAGCTTAACCTCTCGGCTCAAGCCTCAGACCGAATCCAAGTCTCAAAGGCTCTTTGAAGCTCAGATCCCTCTTTAGTGGCAGGCGTCTCACCATTGACATCTTGCCTTCACTCTACTGCAACAAGCCTCTCAATTATTGTGCCGATTTGCCCGAGAAGTTGGAAGAGGTGGCGCCGCCGGTCTCGTCAAAATTACGCAACTGATATCGCCCGTGTCGCTGTCGTTGTTATGCAAATGTCGGCTGCTGCGAAAAAGGCTAATCCTTCTTTGCCTTAATTTGAAGCTCCATTCATTTTATCGAACCTCCGAAACCTGGACAATGGAAGTGTGCCAAAACTAAAAAGATATTTTCGGGAAAAAGTGCCAAGAGCCAAATAAAGCTTGGATTATTTTTGTGTGAAATTGCAACAAATACAGGGTGTCCCAAAAAAAAGACCCCCCCAAAAATTTGAGCCAGAGGGCACCTACGGAGCTGAAAATTTGCACAGCGGTAGCGGAGGCAATTTTCTATGAACAAGGAAAGTTTCAGCCCGATCGTCCAGCGGGTTTTAAAGGTATAGCGAAAATACTTTTGATTTTTAATTTAATATGGGGATCTATGTAATTTGCATCAAAAATATGCGTTATTTTGGCATTTACGAGCCGATTTTGCATAAATTTTGACGAAAAACGCCAGTTGCTTCTTTGGGCTGTAGAAAAACGATTGCTCGTGGAGAGAAAAAATGGTTCGCAAGACCGCGGAACACAAGAGGCGTTGATTGAAACAATTGTTGGACGCTAGAACTCAGCTTACACTTTGTCGTAAGCGTCAACCCAAGCCGAAAACTGAACCTAAGCAGTACTTAGGAGCTCATCAAACTCTGCTTCGGGACCGACGGGGTCATATTGGCAAAATGCCCCATAAGATATGATTTTGACCCCTAGAAACAATCGTTTCCACACTTTTTGCTCTTCATACTCGATCGTTCTCACCGAGATCCAGTTGGCGAATGGCGTTTTTTTGGTCAAAATTTATGCAAAATCGGCTCGTAAATGCCAAAATAACGCATATTTTTGATGCAAATTACATAGATCCCCATATTAAATTAAAAATCAAAAGTATTTTCGCTATAACTTTAAAACCCGCTGGACGATCGGGCTGAAACTTTCCTTGTTCATAGAAAATTGCCTTCGCTACCGCTGTGCAAATTTTCAACTCCGTAGGTGCCCTCTCGCTCAAATTTTTGGGGGGGGGGGTCTTTTTTGGGACACCCTGTATTTAAAACAACCCGCGCCAAAAAAACGTGATAAAGGAAGCTAGTGTCGGATAGTTATAAGCCACCTGAAACGGGCGCAAGTGGGGAGAGAGGGAGAGAGAGAGAGAGAGAGAGAGAGAGAGAGAGACCAAGCCCCGTGAAAAATAGTTGTATAGCGTTTGTGTTTTTTCAATATACTTATAGGTTTTTTGTGATAGACCATGCCAAGCTTAAGCATAACTTTTCCACATTTTTGGCTTCTTAAATGCAAAGTTGATGTCTTTTTCTTTTGTTCTTGTTGCGAAGCGTCAATCAGTCAATCGCGTTAATCTTGGTTTTTTGCAACTTCGGTGACTTTTTCTCTATAGCGGATGGGCGCATCAGGAAGATGACGATCATTCTGAAATCAAGGGCAAGATTACGCCACAGCTGTCGAAATTTGTTACGATTTATTTTATTTTCCAAATTCGTTGAGTCCCCCTGCACTTAGTTTTTTGCACTGTGAGGCGGCATGCACGGTGTGCCAATGATAATTGTAGATGGTGACCAGGTGGGATAGCACCCATCGGAATCCGGCAAATCTGGCTTTTTGCAAAAGCACCGTAGGCAACATCTGCACGATGTGCGTCGAAATGGCCTAAGACCAGGGACGTAGGTAGCGTAAGTTGCGCCCCTTGGCTTGCCCCTCCCCCCATCCCCCCCCCACCGAAATTTGGTCCTAGCTACGCCCCTGCCTACGAGAAGGAAAAGAACGAGAATTTTAGGCGCTCTATTCGATCGCGTTTCCAAAATAGCAGGATAACTTTTGGAAATACAAATGTTTTCTACCCCTTAATTCCCCCCCCCCCCCCCATGTTAAGTTACTTTTACCGAAATACAACGAATTCGGATTACCATGATAGAAAGCCTCAGGTCGGCGCTGCTTTTCTGATTTGAGGCCTGGTGGCGAATCTGAAGCTCGAAAATCGACGCGCGTCAAACTGACTGACGCTCAGCTTGAGGCGCAAATAGGTCAGTACGTCGATGGCAATGCTCACTGCCGAAACATGGAAGAACAAGTGCTCGAAACCGTTTAGGAGGTTTTTCTGAAAGAAAAAGATTTTTGACAAGAAAAAGCCGACACTTCTTTGAACCTGGTAGATTTTCTGGACTTATTTTATAAGTTTTTGCGTCTTAAAACTGTGTAAAATGCCTATATTTTTTATGGGATTGCAGGATTACTGAAGTGAGTAGAATTAACTTCCCCCTGCTAACAGTCCAATAGCCCCCCCGCATAACCAAAAGCCTATTTTTTTTTATCTTTTTTATCATGTGCACCTGGAATTCAGTGGTCTCATAGGGATGGCTCAATTCGTGTTCCATATTGATATAGTCGCCGTACATCACCGTGCCCTTATAATTGGCATTTTTCACCTTTTTCCCGTGTATTCCAATCAGGTATGGTGACGTTGTCAGCACGAATGTCGCGATTGTCAGCGGAATTGTCGTTTTTTGCACGGTTCGATAGTACCTACCATCGAAAAATAGGGCGAAAAATCTGGAAGACGATTCTTTCAATAGAGATTGATTATAACGCCAATTTCTTTTGAATAGTTTCATTTTTTAGTTAATTTTTAAGCTATTTTAAAAGTTTTTTTTTGGTTCAGTTCAATGAAAGGCATATAGAATTGGCAAAGGAAGAAGTTTCACTGAGCATAACGTTCTTCGCAAAAATTGATGTTTTTTTAAGGTGCGATAATATTGAAAAAATTTGGATTCTGAGAAGGCGAGTAGATGCATAAGGCATGATACATTACGTAGTGCAGTTCGTACATGCGAGCTTTTGTTCTTTACAGACCCCCGCCCCGCTAACGCTCCAGACCCGTATCCTGTACCTGTTAATCGAAAGCCCCAATTCCAAAAATCCCATCCATCGGTTCGAGATTTGGTACAGCGCGCTGACCGCGGCATTTGTAGGGGTGGGATAAATCGAACCGCCCATCTGCAGCACCGGATACCAGCAGTTTTTCCTATGCCAAAGCATACAGAGTGTCCCGATAAAAAACTTCACGCTGGCATTCCGCCATTTCGGGCGCGTTCGACGCGAAATTTTGAACAGACGTGCACATAGATATTTGAAATATTTATAAAAAATTTCGGCCGCTAGCTACATAACTTTCCGAGTCGTTACATAAATACTTGTGCTATAATTTTTTGATACTTTGCAATTTTTTGCACTCTCGCTCTTAATTCCTCATCCCTCTCGAGTCAAAACCCCGGTGAAAAACCTAAAATAGATTTTATTCTTTTTAATAACTCGACAGCTAGCGGGCTGAAAGTTTCTGTGAACATTTTAAAAACCTTTACACCGCTGCTCTGTTCAAAATTTAGAGTCAACCGGAACCGGAGATGACGAAATGCAAGCGGGACCTTTATTTTTGGACACCCTGCAGTTATAGCGCAAATCAGGCAATACCATACCGATGATAGCACATCGCGAAGAAACTCCGCAAAATGGCGCTGGCCAGCCGCAGAAGTGCCAGCAGCGCCATTAAGAATTTGACGGTAAACGCCAACGATCTGTTCTTGACGACTATCCACGTTGCGTAGCTGTGCAGGGGTAATGAAACCAAGCACAACTAAAATTGGTTTAGTCCCCTGGGAAACTTTTAAGAAAATAACTGGCGGTGGATGGCTAACTAGGACTCCTATAAAAAGGTCGAAAAAACGATCGTCGAAAATTATCAAAGTCGCACTAGAAATCAAAACTGCATAATATGCCAACTTCAACACTACGAATTTTTTCGCGACTGAAAATGAGCCCACCTACCGCAATTATCGGCAAATAAAAGGTCAGCAGGACCCGATATGCAGCATTTTTCACTCGCTGTGCCCATATTTCCTGCAGTCTGGCCATAAAATAATGCTCAGTGCTCGGACGTGGGATATCGAAACTAGAAGCTGTTTGCCGTGACGCCTTCCGCCTTCGATGCGTTCGTTTCCTTGTCACGCTACAGGCGCTTTAATTACGGTTGCTTCAAATTCAATCAGAACCGACAATTGCGGGTCTTAAACCCCCTCTTAACTCACCTGCTTTGCGAAACGCACCCATATATGAACTTAGTTTGTCTTGGAGTTTTAGGCATCTTTGCATTACTGTAGTTCTTTAAGTCTCACTGCATCTCCTCGACGCTATTTCGTTACATTACGTACGTACGTTTCGCTAAGTTCGTACACGGCTTTTCACCTGGCCCCGTCCAAAATCCATATTCTTCGGCGCTTGGCATACTTCACCACGAATCTCGATGAACAAATGAAATTCCTGAGTCTGCAGTCATTTTCGATCTATGTTATTTGTTTCCTGACGAAAAGCGTTCCTGGAAGTTTTGCAAAAACTCAAATTTAACCTCGAAGATAGTTTATTGTGAAACCTGATAAGTGTGTAGGCATCTGAGGGCCATTACGCACCTAATGACGTATCCCACATGCCTTAAAAATGCTCCACGATTATCTGCTGACACACGCACGGAAGTTCCAAGCAAAAGTGGCACACACAAACAGTAACTTTACATATAAGATTTTTCGCAACCTTCGCTAGCTCTGTGCAAATTTTCAGCTTCATGGGCGCCCGCTGGCTAATTTGGGGGGGTTTGGGACACTCTGTATAGTAAGATACGGTAGTTCCAGAATCGATGAAGCGTATGCCATCTTATCCGGAGTTCACATACACCGGAGAACTAATTCCAAAGAAACTTTATCTAAAAGAATACGGCGACGAGGTGCTGCGAACCGATGCCATTGTCGGGCCGCTGCTATTCGCGGTGAGTTGGACTTATGTTGGTGCTCGGGCAAATATAACCGCGGAGCTCCCTGGTTCGTTCAATTTCTGGAGGTTAAACGGCTTAAAACGACTTATAAACCAATCGATTAATACATAAAAAATGTCATAGCATTTTAAATTTTTCCTACAAATTTAAACATCATCTAGGTCGGAGCCCTGCAACTGTGCTTGGCTACCCTTTTGCTGCTGATTACTTTTCGCTCGCGTTCGTCCCTTCAAACTATTTTTGTTTATTTGATCCCATATGCAATTGGCACGATCTATGATGGCATTATCCGGTTCTACCAATATCGCTGCATAGAAGAGTAAGTTTGCCGTCAAAAAAAATTGTTGATTAATGCATATTATAATATTTGTTACGATTAGATGGATCTGCCACAAAGACGCCACTAACATCTTCATAAATCTGTATGTAACTAGTTTGCATATCGTCGTACAGAAATGGTTTTGGCTGTTGCGATTTGGGATGGCGATTACGCGGTGAGGGCACCTTTAATACGTGCATACCTTGATTATTTTAGTGGTCTCACCGTCGCTTTCGATGGGAATTATGCCCAGGGGATCGCGCGTTTCAGTATAATATGGGTTCTGTTGACCCTCATCCTGCCCTCAATCGGCAATCTGAGCCGATTGGGTTTCGGCTTGAATTGGGGATGCAAGTTTATAGGACGCTCCCAAAACAGGCCCATCCGGCATTTGGCGGTCAACCTAAATAACAACAATCCTGGCTGATGACCCTAAATGCTGTCCCAAAAAGTATCGGATAAGTACCCCCTCTCACGCGACGGAGAAGTATCGGATTAGAATGATCGTTACTCGGAGTTGTACGGAGTAACTTACTCCCATTCGAAAGCCCCTAAAGGGCACGTTCAGGGACGCTTTTGGGCAAGAAAGCAAAGATTTTTGCCGGGCCGGGGGTCGAACGCGGTCGCATACCAGTCAGCCACAGGTGCAACCTGGCGAGGGGCCGCGATCCGCCCCACCCCGGAAAGGAGGGAAAATGGCCTCCTACGGCACGGGCAGGCCGTGCGCGCGGTCCCAACGTCCATAGGGTGTACACGTTGGGACGAGTACACGGCCCCTCCCTGAACGTGCGCTTTAAAACGACCAGTTTGCAACAATCTGCAAACTATTTTTTTATCAAACGCGAAATTTGAAACGCATTTGAAAACATTAACTAACGGCCTTTGCATCTTATTAACGACTACTTCCTGTCTTTTAGCCTGGAGAAATTGAGGCAAATTAGCTGATATACAACCCAAAAAAAATAGCAAAGTTTTACAAAATGGCTCTCAACAGCTTGTTTAACTAAAAAATGGTTGTGAATATTGGTGCAAAAAATCAGGCTTTTGAGGACGAGTAGAGAATCAGGTTTATGTTTTAGATTTAGATCCACAGAAGTATGGTAACACCAGTCAGGATTGTTGCTATTTAGGTTCTGATATACCCCTGGCTCGTTTTTAGGGCCCTTTGGATGTATACCGCAAATTGCTGGATGGGTTTCTTGGGGGCACCCTGTAGTTGAGAACATTTAATTTGCGTTTAGACGCTACCCAAAAGACCTACTACGGATTTGCCTATTATCCACAGCTCTACGTGGAAAGGGCGATGTCAGTGCTTTTGAAGTTGTAGAAATTTTGTTGGCCTCACTGGACTTTGAGTAGTATGCCGAAATTCAAAGTGGCGAGAGCGGAAATGCCGACAGGACATATTGCGCCAACCCGAATTTCGGCATTTTGACCGTCGGCATTTTGAATAGCTTTATTTCAGTATTCTACAAATTTTGTAGTTTTATTAATTCTAAGAAATTTAGGGATTTTTTTGAAAGCGCCGCCGAGCCCTACAACGAGCTTTTCTACACAATTTTCCATCAACACTCGAGCGTGCTCGTTGTCGGCTTCTGCGTCGCGGCCACATGGTTCGGCCGTCAGAAAGTTTTTTCCGTAGGCAATATATGTCTCCTTGCAAATTTAGGTCACCGTTAATCCGGAAGCGAGGTCACGCATCTTGCCGGGATTTGCGCTATGGGTCAGTAGAAATCTGAATTTTCGGATTATGTAAAATCGAGCTTCTGACAGGTAACTCTGAGACCGACTTATATCAAATCATTTTCTCGAAACTCCAATTCGTCGAAATTTGGCACAGTCTAACTTTGATGTTTACGAAATTTAATCTGAATATGCCAAACCTGTGCCAAATCCCCATCGCGCCAAGTTACAACAAAAGCGAAATAATCCTAAATTTTCCATAGAAAGGTCGATCCAAACTTTCTAGTTCACCGTCGCAAACTGTTTTGCCGTTCTCGCGCTGGTTATTAGGACATTGTGCATGCAATTATCAGCTGGTCCATCGATCTCTGGCCGTGGTGGGACTTTATGACCGGAACCGGAGTGGAGCTCGTCGAGATTATGGGGTCCAGGTATTCTCGAAATGACGTGAAAGTTGAGCCTGCTTCAGCCTATTTTTGGTTATCGCCGTCTGGTCCGCGCGGGATTCCACCGTAATGGTTAATGCAGTCAAGTAAATGTTACGTTTAAGTGAAGTTTTAATAAAGTAAATTTTC